TTTGCATCTAAATCTCCTGGGCCTGGAGGGCTGGCAGATGTTTCCTTGGCTCTCGTTTGGATTTTGCCCTCTCACCTACCCTTTCTGGACTCCTCTGGCTAAAGTAACGAAGTAATGAAATTTCAGAGTCCTGATTGGAAGGACGTCGTGAATCCTTGCTACCGTTTTTTGCTGAGGTCTGAACGCTCCCTTTTGCTGTTTTGCAGGAGTCCCCAGAAGGAAGATCGGATCCCCATGTCCGAGGAATACTTGGAGTACAAGCACATCAAGGCCAAACTCCGCCTCCTGGAGGTTCTCATCAGCAAACACGATGTCTCCAAAACCATCTGAAGCCAGTAAAAATGTCCTGACGTGAAGAAAGAGAACGTCTGGGTCTTTCTGCCCAGCGACTTGCTCTTGCGCCTCCTTAGGGTGATAATGCTCAGGTGAGCACAGCAGAAAGGTCTCGGAGCAGGCATGAGACTGCACAAGGAAGGAGTGACTGGATGGAGGACAGACTCTTCCCTGTGAATTCTCTCCTATTTCCAGAGTCTGTTTTCACCTCGACATTTGCCTACTGCTGAGCTAAAAGGAAGCAGCAGCCCTATGCAATTTCAGGAAGGTGGCTTGGGAAGCCCCCTGGGGTCTCTCAAAGCTCTGCTGGAACATCCTCTGGATGCTTGATGTCCAAACTATCTGGCCACCATCATTTGGACAACGATGCTCAAAACATTGGAAGGGCAAAGGAATAAGGAAGATGTACTGTCTCTTTGATCTGGGCTTCCCGGAGGGAAGCCTATGTGTGTATACAGCTGAGCGTTGTTGGTATGTCCAAAATTACGAATCCGTGAAGGGCAAAAATCCTGTCATGATAAAAAATCCCAGTTCAATTAACCCTTCACAATTCATTGCACACTCTCCCCTATGCCTGAGATGTTCCAGAAATCTTACCAAGGTCTCATGAGAATTCACACAACAAGAAGCACAAAATGACAAAGCTGCCTGTGAGATTTTTTGCCCTTCTGGCCTTTGAAATCTCATGAGATTTATTTGGCTTCAGGGAGGATTTTCCAAGATTCAATAACCTTTCAAAAGGGCCAATTCAGGAACCTGGGTGTCGCCCACCGCCTGCCTGTCACCACTTTTTGACAAGAATGTCATAATTCCACACACAAGGAACGACACCAGGCGTTGACGTCTTATGGAAGCGGTTATGACATCCTGCTCATCAGGATGTCATGAATTATGTAATGTGGGTTAGTCACCCAAAATTGCAATTTGCAAATCAGAATACACGGTGCTAAAGTGCGGAGTTGGGCTGTTGAGAGACTCCATCTTTCCCCCTCTTCCTTTCCCTTTTGGGCCAACAATAACGAGGCAGCTCTCGGTGCTTTTGATGCAAAAGATACGAGCAATGCTTAGCCAAATTCTCATAATAATTCTTGCAAAAACATTCAAGGGCCAGTTGGGGGCATTTGGGCTATGAGACCAGTTCTCGATTCCCAGGACTAAAGTATGCAATAATTTTTAAAAGTTTGGGTGAACTCTGTGCATGTTGAAGGAAATTTTTTTGGGGAAATGCAGTCATTGGCAGAGTTCAGCTGGCGGTAGAGAAAATTTTGGGTGCGAGGCTGCTGCCAAAGCTGCGTCAGGTTTGTGTTTATCCAGCTGAAGTGTTTATATTGCAATTTCCCTCTTTGTTACGGACATCGGCATATCTGCGTTCTGTGTTTTACCACTTCTGACTTTTCTTAAAAAGGGATGGGTGGATTAGAGCATAACGCCTTTTGATGAATTGTACTGAGAGGTCCAGAAATTGGAAAGTGATCTCTCCACATTTTACCTGCTCTGCAGAGGTTCAGAGCTTCATTAAACCTTGGGTCAATCAACGTTCAAGAGATGTCTCCTTCCCAAAGTGGCCTTGTTCTGCTCTGCCGCTCATATACTCTGGAGAAGGTTCTGGATGCTGCAAAGATACGTAGAATGTTCAGTTCAGGCTGTGGAAGTGGTGGAGAAGCACCAGGAACAGGAATGTCCAATTCAGAGGGCATCTTTTGGAAGGGAGGGCATCTTTTGGAAAACAACCGGATGGGTTATTCTACTCTTTCTTACTGAAGAAACAGGCTATCTTCTGAATGATTGCCTCTCTAGGCAGCTAACTAGATTATCCTAGTTTTCTGATTTTGCACAAAAGTGTGCAGCAACTTTTGACTGAGTGCTGGAATTCTCTTCAGGTTGCATTGTGAGTATATAAACATGGACTTATAGGGAAAACAAAATGAAAAGTGGACCAGTTTCTCTCTTGGACAGTTCAACACTGCTTTCTGACTTTATAAAACTGGTCCAAGCTTTATAATAGAAGCCACTCTCCTGAAACAAAAGCACCAGAAGTGTAGTTTATCCAGCTCCATGATCACTTGGGGAGGGGGGGGGTCTAAAAGTACATTTGCATTTGTGTGTGAGTTCACGTGTGCATGTAGGTTTGCTGACTAATTTTCTTCCATCCCCGAGCCAGGATTTGGGAAAACCATAGCCCCCCCTCTGTCCCACAAAACCAAGAAGGACCCATGCGCCTTCAGGTTTAAGCTGCCTATAGAAAGCTTCTGGGAACCAAATTCCACCAGCCCTGTCCACTCTATAAATGACCAGGGGAATCTAATGCCATCTGAAGGACTCTGCTGTGGATTCTCACCTATGGTTTAGAACAGTGGTTCTCAACCTGTGGGTCGGGACCCCATTTGGGGTCGAATGACCATTTCACGGGGGTCGCCAAACAATGCAGTCTGCCATTTTTTTCCCCTTTTCCTTAGCTGTGCTACTTTATTCTATTGGCTTTTGAAAGCCAATAGAATAGACTCTCTTGAATAGAGTCTAATTCTATTGGCTTTCAAAAGCCAATAGGAATTGTCCAGGCTGTCTCTGCCCTGCTGAGCCCGCCAAAAGTCCCATTCTGCAAACGGTGCTGCACCAGTTGAGTAGTCCTTGACTTATGACCGGTTGAGTAGTCCTTGACTTATGACCCGGTTGGGGCTCGCGGCATTAAAAAGGTTGAGAACCACTGGTTTAGAAGATCCTGCTTGGAGTACAGTACATATAGGCTTTCTCACTTCCCCTCCCGTATTATCCTTTCCCTGTTCTTCTGCACCCAAGTTCTTGCCCAGCCTTCTTCCATTTTCTTTCCTTCTGGCACCGAATGGAAAAACTAAAAAGTGATTCCAGAAGTCCCAAGACATCACAGTGGGGAAGGGAATCCCATGTAGAAGCTCAGGGAGGCGAGAGATGGAAGTGAAGCAAGGGAGTGACGGGTTGTTTCCTCTTCAGCTTCATACCTGCCAGTTGCTGACCAAAGGCCCACATGCCCACGTGTCGGTTCTTTAAGGCAGAACAGGTCAGGAGCCAGACCAAATCTGACTGGATCCATCCTTTGTTGAGAGAGAGAGAGAGAGAGAGAGAGACATAATTTTGACTGAGTTTTCCTTTCCCACCCTCTTTCCTGTAGTCTAGTTAAATAGGGAAGAATCAGACTGTTTCCCAGCTTAACACACTGTTTTCCCACCCATCCCTTCTGTCCAGCCTCTCCAAGGTCATCTCTGTGATCACACCCTGTTCCAAGTGCCAGGGCTCCATAGAAGCAGAAGGGTTGGTGGGACTTTTGAAACAATTCCTGCAAGTTTGGAAGGTTCATCCCCTTCCCAGCTGTAGAAATGTATTCTGTTTTGGCATTGTGCACGTTGACATGCATGTCACTCCCTTTGTAATTGGGAATCGTTAAGTTATTGGCTGCGTTTTAATGGCTCAGGGCTATCCTTTGATGTTACTTAAGGAAAAGGTCATCCAGATATGGAAGGGTAAGGGGGGAAGGGAGTTAAGCACTTAATTAAGCATATTACTGAGGCTATTTTAGGTAGGAATATGAAATTTCAGGCAAAGTTTTCTTGTGATACGTGTCTATCACCATCTTCCCCATTCTTGTGTCTTGATGATGGGTTGAATTCAACTCCATCATCCCTAAAGACTATGACAATTGTAGACCAAGATATTGAGAAGATACTCGTGTAGAGTCTCTTTGGAAATTTAGACCTGTGCCTTAACATTTGTCTTGGTACCCATAACTAATTATAGTCAACTAGAAAACAATGTGGACTAAAGGTATACGTGATAAAGTCATATATACAATCTTCGCTAAGGGAAGATATCTTCAGTTCCCAGAAAACTCCCCCCATCTTTGGGCAAGAATTCTTTGAGGAGAAACTCATATATGGAGAAGTGCTGAAGACAAGAACACTATAAGAATGGAACACAAGTTTGAGTATCCCATTATTTTAATGTTCTTTTAATTAGATACTACTTTGCATCTTCCAGAACAAATCTCTCACCAGTGATGGTTGGAATAAGTTTAGTGGGTAAATATGCTTTGACGTAGAGACCGTTTTGCAACGTAACAGTTTTAAGGTGCAACAACTTTGACAGGCGTCCTCTTGGAAGCGCCCTCCTTCTTGGACAATCTGTGACACAGGCATCGTCAGTTTCTTGATACTTAGATTGTAATGTGGCTGAAAGCAACAGCAGGAGAAATTCACCCTCCCAAGCTGAATGTTTCTAGTCAGTCAAATCTTTCGAGTGGCTACGGAGCCTAAATCCTGCAGTGTGTTCATGTCTGTTGCTGGCTTTCCACACTCAGTGGAAAGATAACTTTAACATGGTGGTTCTCATTTTCATTATCCTTAATTGTGTTTTTGGATCTTATTTCTCCACACTTCTCTTTCGCCCTGTTGGGTGTGTCCATTTGTTTGTTTTCTGATTGATGTTGTGATGCTGCTTTGCTCATGAGCTCAATGGAAACACATGGGCTACCACAACCAACAGGATAAAGTAGTCACTGGTCACATCCAATGTAACCGGATAAAGTAGCTTCTCCAAGGAAACACAAGAGTGAAACAATACAGATCATTGTTCAGCTCTTTACTATTTCCAAAGCAAGTGTTAAAATGAGAGGTGATTTGGTGGACCTTTGGTTTATATATGCTAATTTTTTCCCCTAGTGTTGTTTATTTTAGGAATTAAAAAAAAAGTGCTTCACAGGTCAGAGTTTTGTGCCATCCATTTCAAGAGTAATGTATTTATGCAGTCCACACAGTGGTTTTTCCTATCTCGTGTCTGTGAAAAAAAGAATATTTATTCACCAAAAGAATGACTTTCCAGCTATGATAAGGAACGTACAACAGATACTGAGACAGTAGGAAAGGTGTGATAAAAGGAGTTCACACTCAGTTGGAGAATGGCGAGGTTTTATGAGGCTCTAGAGGTGTCAAAATGGTGGCCCATGGGCCAGATGCGTCACATACAGGCCCCGCCTACCAGGGTCCGCAAAGGCAAAAAACGTCACGATACGTCATGATACATCACATGACGCGATCAAGTTTGACCCCCGTGCTCCAGTGTGACAAAAATGAAAACTGTGGCATCTTGTTCCTTTCTGATCACTCTCAGTTCAAGAAGATTTAATCAGATTAATGGAGATAAGACCAAACACTTCTCTCATTTTAATTCCTGTAGCATTTTTGTTTTGACCTTTCCATGCACTCCAAACACAAGGGGTGAATTCAGAAGGATGCAAATGAATCGGGGCTAAAAAGGTGTGCTTAGCATAAGTTTACCGCAGAAATTAAGTAGTGAAAATCAATTTATTTTGAAAAGGCAGTTTTTAAGAAGGAAGATTAGGCATTTATGGGGGGGGGGGAACCCCTTAAACAGGAAAAAGTAGCCAATACATTTCAAGGTAAGGAATTGTAAACTATCCCATCCTTTTTAAGAGAAACCTACAGGATTTGGTTGATAGTAACCAAAATGAAACAAACCACATGGTTGTCCATTCTAATCTTTATTTGTGTAGCACTTTTCTGTAGCACAATACTATAAAATGTTGCTTTTTATGATTACCAAAGCTTGTTTGAAAGCATGCACTTTGTAGGATCTTAATATTTCACACGTGATGATCGCCAAGGTACTCTGTTATAGTGATAATAGTTTATTGCATTATGATGTATGCAGATATTTAATCTAAGTGTCATAGTTACGAATGGCGGATGGTTGAATTTCTTGTTCTCTAATTTGGTTGACTATAGGCTAGAATATATATACATGGCTGGTTTATGCCATCTTGAGGTTCAAAAGGAGTAGACTTTGTAAGTGAAAAAGTTATTCTTGCAGGTTAAAATAGATTACTTCTATATGGAGCATGATTGAGTCTGAGGTGGACAATCAGGAGATGTCCCAAGAAACACAGGTTTAATGGCAACCAGATTCAAAGAAGTCTCCATGCTTGGTCAATGGAGAAGCCCTTGGTCTTCTCATTCTGGTGCACAGATGAAGGAGGATTCCCACAGGCAAAGAGAGATGTGGGCGAAGACAGGACCAGGTGAGATGTTTAAGTTTGGAGGGTGATGATTCCACAACATCAAAAATGTTGAGGAAGCCCAGGGAGATACCTCTCCAAGACCCAGAGCTTCATGGTGGACAGGGCCTACTGCTCTTTCTGCTATAGTGTCATAAAGGAAGGCATTGGATGAATTCCATTACCCACCAACCTTGTCTGTAGGTCACTATATGTAAAAGTTGAAGCATGATTTTTTTTTTTTTAGAAAAAAAGGGGGGGGGGAGAATGAAGAATCTTTTAATGATTTGGGAAAGGACCGTGTCCCATGACTAAACTAAGTGGATTTTTTTTTGTTTGTATGTTTGTTTCTATGGCAATTGATGTTTCAGTGTCGTTGGCTGCATCATTTATAACTGAACCAGGACGGTCATAAATCTGTTTTAATCAAAACTCATGTCAGAGCAACAGGAACAGATACACAAGTATTTGAAGTTTACAAACTACATCTTTGATGAGGGAAAAATGCTGTCATGACATGTGTACAGTTGCTATTAAAATGCCATCTATATATTCGATATGATTGTATAATATTTTATACAACAGTACAAATAAAATATTTTTCTATTATGATGAAACACAGGTCTTCCGTTGGTTTTGTTAGCTCATATAAATAACATAAATAACACTGTCAAACGACACATTGGAAGTGCTGACATATTTTTTTTTCCTAGGCTTGCGAGCGTTAAATCATGCTGCCATTACACCTGTTCATGCTGTTTAGAAATATTCCAGTTAAGTTGTTCAGTAGGTTAAAATGAATGCATATTTAAACACCATTGAGAAGCCAGGAAATTTTTATTTTACTCAAGCTTGTTTATATAGATTTGTTACATTTGGCAGTATGGAGAGAGGAGGGACAAATTAACACCAATTGCAGCACCTAGATGTATAAATGGTTGCTAGGAAAATAAAAGAAAAGGAAACCAAAATACCCCCAAGATTTTGAACTGTTGAAAGCAGTGGTGGACCAGGAGGGAAAGAACACGGGAAATACCAAGGGTGGAACTACAGCTACCCAGGGCAGCTGCAGATAATACTGTCTCCATATGCAGCTCCTTTCCTTTCTCTCCATGACACAGGGACCCACTGACTGGCACGGTGATGTCATCCATCCTATGTCCCTACCAGCAGCATCCAACCGGAACAGGGAAAGCACATAAGCTGAGGGTACAATGGCCAGCATGCTCGGCTTCAATGCTGTAGGCAGAAGGGGAGAGATACTTCACTGGATGCCATTTTGGGAGCTGCCCCAGCTTGGCTGGAACATGTAGCTCTGCTCAGAGAGGAACTGTTGAAGAACTGGGTCATGGGACTTGCTTCTGGGAAGGAGGGCATTCGTCATGCGTCTGATGTGTAGGGTGGAGAGAGGGTGTAGGCAACGGAGGAGGGTCCTCAGGAAGGTGGCGATGGAAATTAGCGTCCCACACTGATGTTACATGTCTTGCAGCTTGGATCTTTCTTGGCATCGGCAGTGGACAAACTCATGAGTTGGTGGCCGGTGATCTCTGCCACTGTGCCGAGGGAGAGATTGACGGGGTCAGTGTAAATCACTTCCAAGATGACATCCTGTGCATGGTGGTAAACCATGGCCCCGTCTTCTTCAGTGCAGGTCAGGAATTTGTTATCCTGCAAGTTCAGCTGAGGGAGGCGCTGCTTGCAGAATTCGTCCCCCAGCGAGCCGATGGGGGCCAGGACAAGAATGACGTAGTGGTAGGCCGTGTACATGCAGTAGAAGTCCCCGAAGTACAAATTAGTGTTTGGGTTGAAAAGTTTCTCAGCTGCAATCTCAAACCTGTATCTTCCATAAGGCGAATCCTGGGGGGGCTTTCCGGTGTTGAATTCGGTGTGGCAGCTAAAAAAGATCCCCTCCAGCTTCCCGCTGATGGGAGACCCATGGCTGCCGCTGTTATCCTTAACCGAGGGCTGCAGGATGCTTCCATGCTGCTCTCTAGAAATAAAGGATGGGGAACATGTTAGTTCTACAGTGGCATTAGAGCACGGGTTTCAGAGGACCATGCAAAGCCCCTTGGGTCAATCCAACATCCTTATCATGTTTGCATTTATGCAGAGAAACTGCACAAATGCAAGATCACCACAGAAGAGGACTGCAGTCAAGAAATTAAAAGATGCTCGCTCCTGGGAGGAAAGCTATGGGAAATCTAGACAGCATGCTAAAAAGCAGAGACATCACCCTGCCAACAAAAGTACGTATAGTCAAGGCCATGGTTTTCCCAGTTGCAATGTATGGATGTGAAAGTTGGACCATAAGAAAGGCTGAGCGCCAAAGAATTGAGGCCTTTGAACTATGGTGCTAGAGAAGACTCCTGTGAGTCCCCTGGACTGCAAGGTGATCAAACCGGTCGGTCCTAGAGGGGATCAACTCTGACTGCTCTTTAGAAGGCCAGATCCTGAAGTTGAAACTCAAGTACTTTGGCCACCTAATGAGAAGGAAGGACTCCCTGGAGAAGAGCCTAATGTTGGGAAAAATGGAGGGCAAGAGAAGAAGGGGATGGCAGAGAATGAGGTGGCTGGATGGAGTCACTGAAGCAGTAGGCGTGAGCTTAAATGGACTCCAGAAGATGGTAGAGGACAGGAAGGCCTGGAGGAACGTTGTCCATGGGGTTGTGATGGGTCAGACACAACTTCGCACCTAACAACAACAAGAGAAACCGGCCAATATAGATGCTGGCAGAGACCAAGTCTGCTGTATAGGACATCGGGGAGCTGTATATATTATTGGAGAGGCTCTCTAATTTTAGGCAGTGTGATATTGAAGGGAGACCAAAAGCAGCCAGGAAAGACCCCTCTTATTTTTAGAATAGAAAGTATAATTAAAAAGTTGCAACAATCTATATTGTAGTCAATCTACTTCTGTCCCCTTCCTAAGAATCATTGGATTTAGACCGAGGGCTACAGATTGTGCCGTATCAACAGTAAAATGTTTGTCTACAAAGCTAAGTGTTTCATTAGGGCAAAGAGGAAAATGTAATGTCATACGATGTCTTCTATACTTTCCATGCATAGAAAACTTTAGATGAGGTTCATCTCTGGTGTCTTTTTAATTTCTCAGAAACAGGATGGTGCACTTTACATCTCAGAGGGCACTAATTGTAAAACCTGAGATGAACATCCTTAAACTTGAGATGAACCATTTTAGACCACAAGGAGGGGCAGAGATGGCAGCACAGCAACCCCACAGTGCCAAATGAGCTAATCCTAGGCCAGCAGTGAAGCTACTCCGAGGCTATGCATTGTTGTTGATTCTTTCCTCTATTATAAATACTTTGCTTTCCTGTTTTTAACACTGTACCTGGTAAAACTGCTTTGCTTTATTAGATTTCAAGAATATTGGAACTAAATCTACTAAAGAGTACAATCGGCTATTCACTTGTCAATGATAACACTTACAGGCAACTGTTGCTAATTAAGAAACAGGTTGCTCCTAGATCTGATGTGTTGAGCGCTTCCTTGTCCCTTATCAGTGGAAAAAAACATGTTCTTATCTGCCCCACCTGTAACCTGTAACCTGTAACCTGCCCCACCTGTAATCTGACTGTGTTCAGCAGGTCAGCGGTTCAAATCTCACCGGCTCAAGGTTGACTCAGCCTTCCATCCTTCCGGGGTAGGTAAAATGAGGACCCAGATTGTTGGGGGCAATGTAAATATATATATACATTGCTTACTGGTGTACACCGCTTAGAGAGTGCTTGCACTTAAAGTGGTATATAAGTCTCATAAATAAATAAATAAATAAATAATCAGGCACCTCTGAAAAGCTGGCTCTTTTTGCCTCCACTTACCTGATGTAGTCGAAGTATTCTTTGTGTTGATTCCGGTAAAAGACCGAAAATTTAAGCATACGCCCTGCAATCACTTCTGCCTTTTCCAAAAGTTGTGTTAAGTGAACCTTGGAATAATCTGTGAATACAAAACATTTTTGTTAGCGTAGGTAATACACCGGTGCTTCCAAACAGATGATGGATGGTGCTATGATCAACTGGGATCCCAAAGCTAGCAACATACACCTATCCATATGTGCATCCGTATTTCCCCATTGGTTATTCTCTTTCAGGGTAAGCAATACAATGTCAAGTTCAGACGGAGAGTTAAGACACAGTAGGGAAAGGAAACAAAGGAGGAAAGGAAAAAAAAAGAAAAGGGAACCTTAGCAGCAACATTATTTAGTATACTTCTCCATACCTTCCTCTTCTTGAAAACTGCCTCGCTTCTATCATGCCCATATGTTGATTCATACCTCACCTTTTGTTCTCAGTTTTGCAACTCTCTCTTTATCTCTTTCTCTCCCTCCCTCTCTTTCTCTGGATTAGATATCCATTTGAGCAGGAAATATAGCAAAGGAAAACATTTTCCCTAAGGTGACCAACTTTTTTACAATGAAAAGGAGGACACAAATAAATTGAAGAAAAAAATATGGTAAATAAAAGAAACATTTTATTCATTGCAACAATAACACAGACAACTTGCATGGGCAAAGTTTGCCAGCCGGGTGTTTTGACGCGCTCAGCAGCAATTCCTATTGGCTTTCGAAAGCCAATAGGGGGAGTAGCACAGCTCATGCAAAAGTTGAAAAAAAAAACATCAAAAAAAGGTGCCGGAACACCGTTCTGAGCGTTCTATGAGGGGAAAAAAAGCCCTGCAGATTAGTCTTCAATTATCGAAAAGGAGGTCATGTAGGAGGACACTTTTTGAGGGAGGACAGAACTTACAAAAGGAGGACTGTCCTCCCTAAAAGAGGACAGTTGGTCACCTTATTTTCCCCCACTCTGTTTTCCCCACTGGAAATGGCTGTTAGCAACACACAAGAAAAGGATATTTTCCTAAGAGCTCACAATTCAAGAATACCAATACCAAGCACAAACTGCTGTCTGTGACAAAACAGAACACAAAATTGCTTTCTCCTTTGAACTGGGGCATTTCCAACCAAATTGCCTCTTCCTTCCTTCCTTCCTTCCTTCCTTCCTTCCTTCCTTCCTTCCTTCCTTCCTTCCTTCCTTCCTTCCTTCCTTCCTTCCTTCCTTCCTTCTTCCCTTCCTTCCTTCCTTCTTCCCTTCCTTCCTTCCTTCCTTCCTTCCTTCCTTCCCTTCCTTCCTTCCTTCCCTTCCTTCCTTCCTTCCTTCCTTCCTTCCTTCCTTCCTTCCTTCCTTCCTTCCCTTCCTTCCTTCCCTCCCTCCCTCCCTCCCTCCCTCCCTTCCCGCCCCTTCCTTCCTTCTTCCTTCCTTCTTCCTTCCTTCCTTCCTTCCTTCTTCCTTCCTTCCTTCCTTCTTCCTTTCCTTCCTTCTTCCTTCCTTCCTTTCCTTCCTTCCTTCCTTCCTTCTTCCCCTCCTTCCTTCCTTCCTTCCCTTCCTTCCTTTCCTTCATTCCTTCCTTCCTTCCTTTCTTCCCTTCCTTCCTTCCTCCTCCCTTCCTTCCCTTCTTCCTTCCTTCCTTCCTTCCTTCCCCTTCCTTCGTCCCTTCCCTTCCTTTCCCTTCCTTCTTCCTTCTTCCCTTCCTTCCTTCCTTCCTTCCCTTCCTTCCTTCCTTCCCTTCCTTCCTTCCTTCCTTCCCTCCCTCCCTCCCTTCCTTCCTTCCTTCCTTCCTTCCTTCCTTCCTTCCTTCTTCCCTTCCTTCCTTCCTTCCTTCCTTCCTTCCTTCCTTCCCTGCTCCTCTTTCCTTCCTCCACATTCAGGAAGGGATGACGGAAGTGGGAGAGATTGCTAGCGCTGCCGCTGGCTGTCGCTATCCCATGCAGGCAGGGATAGTCCTGGTGAAAGGGAAGCCTAGTGGCTACGAGGCTAGGTCAGTGAGTAGGTGTGGCATTGATCTACTGGTAGGGGCCATCAAAGCTGGAATGTGCTCAGCCTTAGATCCACGGGCAGCCCTGGAGACTGCGACCCCCCCTCCCGCTGTCTCTGTCTTGCCCCCTGGGCGGCGAGCATGTGAGCGCTGGTGTCCTGGGGGAAAGGAAGTGCTTCACTTACCTTTTTTCTTCCTTAGTGCTCAGCAGAGATGGTCAGCAGGGATGGCTCCTCTTCATGCACCCAGGGGGTGGGGCGGGGGCAGTCCCTCGTTGGCCCTTTCCCTCCAAAACCTCCTTTTATATCCTCTCCTCTCCCCACCTCCTCCTCCTGTTCTCTTGAGTGCACCTCCAGCTTCCGGAAGCGCCGATCAGCTGGAGCACGGTGCTGATCCTGGCGCTTCTGCCAAGCTCTGACAGCCCTGCAGCTCCAGCTGTCTCTCCCTCGGGCTTGTGCGGCACTGTCACTGCTTTAGCTCATTTCTCTCCGCCCCGCTACCACTTCTCTAGTGGTGTACCACCTGCAGGTGCCAAAGTACCCATTGGCGGTAAGCGTACCACCAGTTGAAAAGCCCTGGACTACAAGACCTCCAAGGTCCCTTCCAACTTTGTTATTCCATTATTTCCTCAACTTTGTCCAAGCATAACTTTTTTGAGCTTCCTTTTGTGTCTTTCACTCTTCTTTCATCTGTTCATTTTGTGGTTCTGTCCTCATTCCTTCTCCACAGCTCAGCAAACCACCTTAATCTCTCTCTCTCTTTCTCTCTCTCTTCTCTCTCTCTCTTTCTTTCTCTCTCTCCCTCTCTCTTTCTCTTCCCCCCCTCTCTCTCTCCCTCTCTCTTTCTCTTCCCCCCCTCTCTGTTTCTCTCTTTCTCTCTCCTCCCTCTCTCTCTGGATTATATATCCATTTGTGTGAAATGGTATAGGGTCTACTGCTTCTTTCATCTGTTCATTTTGTGATTCTATCCTCATGCCTTCTCCACAGCTCAGCAAACCACCTCAATATCTCTCTCTCTCTCTCTCTCTCTCTCTCTCTCTCTCTCTCTCTTTCTCTCTCCTCCCTCTCTCTCTGGATTATATATCCATTTGTGTGAAATGGTATAGGGTCTACTGCTTCTTTCATCTGTTCATTTTGTGGTTCTATTCTCATGCCTTCTCTACAAATCAGCAAGCCACCTGAATGCATTTTTTTTCTATCCTGGCCACTTACTTTTGTACTCACTTTTGCAACAATCCAGTGCCCCTTCTATTTTCCTGTCTTCCTCACAATCCTCAGAAGCACCCAACGTCCAGGGGTTCCTCCTGACCTACTCAGTACTCCATTCCTTGCCCCAAAGTGGCCACTCTGGCACCCAGCCATTTCTGCTTCTTTTAACTGATATTGGCTTCCGACAAGCTATCTCTTGGCCATAGGCTGGTTCCCACAAGCAGAGGACTCACCTGCCGTACAGAACTCAATAATCTCACTCCATTCTGAAACCGTGTAGTCTCCATCCACCTGCTTGGAGGCCGTCTGCACAGCAACGGTGTATTCGGTCCGTGGGCTCAGGAACCAGTGGCCACGGACAGTCATGGGCAAGGGGACAGCTTTTGCCACGAGTTTTGTAGGCACGTCCTAGTTGAGCAGGAAAAAGGGAGGACAAAGTAAGACAATACAAAGAGGATCAGAAGATAAGTGAGCCTCCCAGCTGTTGAACCTCGTCTCCCCAGTTTGGTGCTCTCCACTCTCATGGGAAGCAGCTGTGGAATGGACATCCTGTGCTAGGACACCACCACACAACCAATACAAATTGCGTAATCCATGTCAAATGATATACTTCTTTTTTTAAAATTATTTTTTATTTTTCCAAACTCTCCCCCATACATATACCGTGGTATTTATCAGATGTTAACATACATTCTTTTAACATTCATATATAAGATACTTTTAACAAAATGAAATAAATACATACACATGACTTTTGGTATTATTTGCCCATTTCCCCTTTCACTGTATCCACACTCCTTCTTCTCTACCTTCTTCCTCCCTTTCTTCTCTTCCCTATTTCCCTCTTCTTCCTCTCCTCTTCTCTTTCCTTCGCCACTCTCCTCCCCTTTCTCCCCACTTCTCCTCTTCTCCTCCAACCTTCCTACTTCCTTCTCCCCTCCTTTACTCTTTTATCTCTCCTCTCATTTCTTTCAAATTATATACTTCATATTATTTCACAATAATAGAATGATGCATGTGATATTTATCATGCCTTTCTCCAGGTGAATTAGGTTGGCTTCTTACTAAAATTCAAAGATGTTGAAATGTTATTTCCTCTTGTTGGTTGACTAATAAAAGAGAATTACTCAGGGGATAGGAAGGAAGGAAGGAAGGAAGGAAGGAAGGAAGGAAGGAAGGAAGGAAGGAAGGAAGGAAGGAAGGAAGGAAGGAAGGAAGGAAATGGGTATTTCCTGAATGCTTCTCTTACATTAGTCCCACAAACAAACATAACATAATGGTTAGTTAGGAAAAGCAGAATTATTTGCCAGAGCTGGTATTGCATTGACTGAATGGCATTTGCAAGCATCTAGAAGTCCACTAGATGGCAGCAAGATAACATTGCAAAGTCTAATCCTGAAGTCTCGCCATCTTATGGCAATTTGAATTATTGCAGCCCAGATACAGCAATCCTAAATATAGTACAGTAGTTGGAAGGCTATAAAACTGGAGATATTTCTCCTTTTTCTTGAGAAAGATGTCTAAGTAGGTTGAAGAGGTGGAATCAGAAGACGGTTGCAAGTATTGTAGCAATTCCACATTTCATAGGCAATGAGTTCATCTTCCAACTAAGATTTCTTAAGCATTTCTATGGCACCTTCCACCAGCAAAGCTTGCCAAGATGTTCCAGAACAATTCGCCAACATGTTGGAAATGTAAAAAAGTACATGGAACATATTATCATTTATGGTGGACATGCCCAGTTGCGAAAAAATACTGGACTAAAATAAGAAGATGGATCAAAGAAATAATAGACCAACCCGTAGACTGGAAACCAGAGATCTTCTTGCTGGGTATTTTAAACAGAAAATATAGTAAAGAAATATGGTACTTAATTCTACATATAACAATGGCAGCAAGAATAGCATACGCACAGTTCTGGAAAAATGAGAATATACCATCAGAGGAAGAAGTGATAAGAAAAATCCTGGACTGTGCTGAGATGGACAAATTAACAAAAGAGATAAAAGAAAAGGAAGACACAGAATACTATAATATGGAACAAGTGGTATGACTGGTTGGAGACTAGAAATAATAGAGGAGAATAAATGTGGAAAGGTCAAAAGTGGAAAATGTGTGTATAATAATGTATAGTAATAATAATATGTATTATTCTTAGTATGAAGTATAGTATGAAGGAAATAAAATGCAAATAAGAAACAACGGGACAACAAGGACAAATATTCTAAAAAAGAATAAGATGGGGAAATGTAAATAATAGAAGATTACCATTACGAAATCTCTGTTAAAAAAAAAGGAGTATACACTGTGTGTGTATGTGTGTTATGTTTTGTTTTGTTGGTTTAAAAAATAAAAAATGATTAAAAAAAAGATTTCTTAAGCATTTGCTATTTGGTTGGTGGTCTTCTGCGAAAGGAAATTATCAGAATGTTTCTTATAATTGACCCGACTTCTAAAGCTTTTCATATTGTAAGGTGGTTCCTTCAAGCCTGTCATTTACCCTCTGTTAAAAAGAAAGATACTTGGAAGCTATTTATGGCAGGCCAGCAGCCTGATAATCCTAAACAGATTAAAGCAAATCAGGGCAAACGCAGGATAATATATCAGTGGAAAAGTGAGCCTTGACACCAGTCTCAAACAGTCTCAAAGCAATTTCTAGAAGCAAAAACCCAATACAACCACTAGAATGTTATATAGGTAATACTGCAATTAATAAAATATACAACCATCATTACTTTCCCCCCTCTAATGAGGTATCATAAATGAACAGGAATAATATAATAATAGGAATAATAGGAAAAAGGCCATCCTTTTGGGGTTTCTCTTCTGATCTGGTTAGAATAATATTGCATAAATAAACTACAAGTGAGAAATACAAGAATAATTAAACTAAATAGGAACAGCCATTTATTAAAACAGCTGCAAATGAGGGACTTTAGCTTGTATGTCATGTTATACAGATCAGGATTCAGTGAATCTTCCTGGTTTGTTTTGCTGATCTTGTTGTTGTTAGTTGCAAAGTTGTGTCCGATCCATCGTGACCCCATGGACAACATTCCTCCAGGAAGTTTCAACTTCAGGATCTGGCCTTCTAAAGAGCAGTCAGAGTTGATCTCCTCTAGGACTGACCAGTTTGATCATCTTGCAGTCCAGGGGACTCGCAGAAGTCTTCTCCAGCACCATAGTTCAAAGGCTTCAATTCTTTGGCACTCAGCCTTTCTTATGGTCCAACTTTTACAGCCATACATTGCAACTGGGAAGACCCTGGCCTTGACTATATGTACTTTTGTTGGCAGGGTGATGTCTCTGCTTTTTAGTGTGCTGTCTAGATTTGCCATAGCTTTCCTCCCCATAACTTCTACTATGACTCCATAATTAGGTACATGCCACCAAGTCAGCAGTAGTGAACAGCAATACTATGGACAAAGGATGGCCATCAGGAATTGCTTTTAGGAAAGAGTCCAACTTCCCAACGTTCTTAGACATTATCCACTTCCAAAGTCTCAGCAATTCCCATATTTACAAAAATTAATTATATAAAGAAAGAAAATGGAAGAGCATTTTGAAGCATTGTCTTCTTGAGATTATATTTGCTTCTTTCTAAGTAATAATTGCACTGGTAAAATAGCTTCTCTGCTGCTATCAAGCTGTTGTTGTTTAAATGGTCAAGTATGTCACTCAGTTACTGAATCTTATTCAGGGTGGATAATTTTACATTAATGTTGCATGGCTTTGTGCTTCAGACAGAGGAAAAGATTCTATTTAAAAAGAAAGGCAGTAAATACCAAAATGTCAAGTGTTTGCCCAGTAAAGTGCTTTGAAAAAAAATGCATTTAAAGGATAAATAAACATTTGACAGCTAATAATATATTTTTAAATGCTGACCCTGAAGATGTGAATAGATTAAATCAGTGGCTCTTATAAAAACAACAAAAATTATTTAGCTCGAATAAAGCTGCCTTAACACATCTCCTCCCAAAATTATTAGTCTTCCTTTTTTTCACTCCAATTGTGATAGGAATGTGTTACATCAACAACAGAGTTCCAGGTGCAAATATGAACCTCCAAAGTCTTGGACTCATGTCAATCTAGACTTTATGTCAGTCTAGCATCGCAAGTCTAAATGTAATTTATTTATACACACAACAATGTGAAGTCATCATTGCTGGTTTTTAGTTGGTGTTGGCCTTCATAAACATCACATTCTTCCCAAGAACCTGGAATGTTGTAATGTATTGGGGTTAGTATATGTGCAGACCTGAGCAGTGTGACCTTTTGCAACTGACAGACGGAAATTGTGTCAATGCACAGGTTTTCTAAGTTTCGTCCAAGGTTTTTTGATATTTTGGTTTCTTGGAGAAGCACTGAGACAGCTGGTTTATGCCACAATCTTTCTGTTTTGATTTTCAGATCTTAATGCTCTGTGATCTTCTCCAATTCTTCGTTTACTATCTCCTGATATTGGCCCATCAATTAGACACACTTCCTTCAGTTCATCAGGAACAGTTATATCTGGCGTGTTATGAGCCAAAACTTTTATCGGTCTATATTCAGAAATCCCCCAATATTTTAACTTGTTTGTTTGTCAACTATCTTTTCAACTTGTGTGTTCTCGCCAACTTATTGTCATGATCATTTTTACAGATGTTCCAATGAAGCATTTTGGCAACTGTGTCATTACAGGGTTTTCATTATCATTGTTATTAATGTCTTTAGAGGCCACAAAAACATACGCAGATCTCCATTTAAAAGGCACATTGAGAAAGTGCTCTGCTCCTGAGCAGATCAATCTTATGTTTGCTTAGTGATGGTTCAAAATTACAACTGCACTGAAAAAAGTGACTTATGACCATTTTTCACACTTACAACCATTGCAGCATCCGTGATTTACATTACCGGTCACGTGATTTACATTCCGATGCTTGAAAGCTGACTCACATTTATGACAGTTGCAGTGTCCTGGGGTCACATGATCTCCTTTTGCAGCCTTCCGACAAACAAAAGTCAACGGGAAGACCAGATTGACTTAACAAGCACGTTACCATTTTAACAACTGCAGTGGTTCACTTAACAAATGTGGCAAGGAAGTCGTAAAATGGGGCAAACCTCACTTAACAAATTTCTTAGCAGTGTAAATTCTGAGCTTAGCTGTGGTCCATAAGTTGAGGACTACCTGTATTCTTTTTGGAGAGAAGAAAGAAAAATCTCCTTTTTTGGGAGGAAATTCCATAGCAGTGGGACTTTGACAACAGGGTTGTCTCTTTGGCTGGGAGTGTCATCTTTCGTTCCTGAAAATATCCAAAGGGCAAGGATAGCTGATCTCTGGGACTATACCTGCCATCGCTGTTTTGAACCAGATGGGCAAGCAAATGGCAACTGGTACTACTACTGCTGTTGGCATACCCAAGCATATTCTCACTTCTTCCCCGCCCATCAGAAGTGGCAATTGCACTCGCACTGAAGTGTGATGGAATGTGAGAGATTGTGGGAAGACCAGGATGGGCTAACAGACATAAACAGACAAGAGACAATTGGTATCTCAGCTCACAAATGGCAACTCCACCCCGGTAGAAAGAAGCATTTCAGATCAACCAGATACTCCACCATAATGAACTCATTGTAAATTAGGACGAAAAAAAAAATCCTCCTGCAGTATCCAAGTTTCTTTACTTACTCTAGACTAGCATTAAATTCCTGGGGTGTCCAATCACACTTGACCAATAAAGAATTCTATTCTGTTAAAGATTCCTTTCAGGAACCTGTCTAGTTCTCCCTTCCATGATCACACCTGCCTGATTCAGGGCACAAAGCTAGAAAAACCATTTGCAATTTTCTCCTCTTTTGTTCTCCTGTAGCCCTCAGGGTTCTCCCTGACAGGAGAAACTCACCTTAATTATTTCTAATGCCAATAACAACTTGCCTGTCCACAAAGGGCCTCCAGTCCAAGCGAGTCATTCTGCTTCTGATGGACTTTATGAACTTCGTTAATGTGCTTCTGAAGCATTTACTAGGTCCCAGAATATCTGCCAGCCTTCCCTGCCCTGCTGAAACGGTGGGCTTCAACTCTCAAAACCTCCAGTCAACTTGACCCTTTGTAAGATCCATTTTCCCTTCCCTTCCCTGAGCTTTGCTGCCTGAGAATATGTCCCCTTTGATGTCCCAAAGATGCTTTTTCACGAGGCAATTGGACTTTCTTATTTAACAAGGAAGTCCAATGGCCTTGTGAAAAAGCTTCTTTGGAACAACTGGATGACTGAGAATCTCCATAGACATACATAGCTTGAACGAAATACATAGCTTTGATGACATACATAGCTCGAATATATCTGGGATATAATATATTACACCCACATCATGGTCTTTTTTTCCCCCAAGACCATTTCACTCTCTCTTCCAGCATAATTACCTATTTAGTGAATGTTTCTTATTAGTAGCTACTTATGGTCACTTCTGCCTGGAGAATTGGATATTCAGATCAAAAAGAGTTATATCTATGAATATCATTAGTATGAATAAGGGTGATATTTCAGTAATTACATGATAAGGAGGTGCAATCTCAGAGGTTGACCTGCTCTGCTGAAGAGGCTACATTTTGCCCTTCGTGGGGAGAATGTGATGCCGTCTCGTTTTGCTTCCAACTAGATCAGCAAATATAGTCAAGGCCATGGTTTTCCCAGTTGCAATGTATGGCTGTGAAAGTTGGACCATAAGAAAGGCTGAGCGCCAAAGAATTGAGGCCTTTGAACTATGGGGCTGGAGAAGACTGCTGCGGGTCCCCTGGACTGCAAGGCAATCAAACCAGTCAGTCCTAGAGGAGATCAACCCCGACTGCTCTTTAGAAGGCCAGATCCTGAAGTTGAAACTCAAGTACTTTGGCCACCTAATGAGAAGGAAGGACTCACTGGAGAAGAGCCTGATGCTTGGAAAGATTGAGGGCAACAGAAGAAAGGGACGACAGAGAATGAGATGGCTGGATGGAGTCACTGAAGCAGTAGGTGTGAGCTTAAAGGGTCTCCAGAAGATGGTAGAGGACAGGAAGGCCTGGAGGAACGTTGTCCATGGGGATGCAATAGGTCGGACATGACTTCGCAACTAGCAACAACAATAGAAGTACAGTAGATTGGCATGAATTGAGCTGAAGGTGCAGACAAAAATTGAACCTCCCACTCTTTCTGGGACCTTCAGCTCAATTCATGCCAAGCTAATGCCTTGAGTTAAAGGTATATTGATGTGGGTCTCCTGCTTGCTATCCCAAATCCCACAAATAATAATATATCTGTTCTTCCCATTGGTCAATTGCACTAGCTCAGTTTCACCTATGGTTTGCATACTGGCTCAACCAGGTCTCAGCATCTCATGAGGCAGAACCAAATCCATCTAGATATACATATAAATGCATCCTATCAGGAAAGCAACTTGCACAAAATATTGGGAGGATACACAGAAATGTATGCATTAGGAGAAATGCATGTAAAATGCATACTTTCAAACACATTTCATGCACGTGTTCATCTCAAAGATTATATGGAAATGATCGTTACTATATATAAGCCTGAATTAATCCCCCATAACTGTAATGGGGCTTCCTCATTAATAAATGTGTAAAGGATCACTATTGTAAAAATCCTAGGGGAAAATCCAATATGACATCTTCACCATTAATTTCCTCCAACTTTGCAGGAAAGACAACTGCATCAAATGCCTATTAAGTCTCTGATGAATTATAACATATAATGGTCTGGATTAGACAGAGGTACCAAACCACTGCAAGGATGTTAGAAAAATTTAAGTCTGAGGTAGAAGTGTAGACTTTGAGTTCTCTTTCTTTGGGAAAAACTTTTTGTGTTAGCCATTTAAAATGATTTCCCCCTTCCTAATACTATGGGTAGCGATATTATGAGGATTTGAGTTACAGAAATCAGAATCCTGCATTGCTCAGTGCTTCATACCCATAGGAATGGAAGACCTACCTTGTGCTTAAATTTGTTGGAATTCTTGTTCTCTTTCTTATTTAGATCAATGAAATAGTGAGTGATGCGTTCCTTTGACTTGGAGTCCATGTCCCACAAAATCTTGAAAGAATCACAAGTGATGTTGCTAATCTTGATGTTGTGAGGAACTGGCAGCTCTTCCATCTCGGCAATCCCACTGTCTTGTGACTTGTTGCCTGCAGAGGTGTGGATAAAACATAGCCCTGGTTATCAGGAGCACAACTGGAGAGCATAGTTCAGCATGCATTCCTGGGGACTGAGAGGCAATAGACACTGGTAGATGGGGTAAAGACCCAAGATTAAGTTGGTGAACATAAGATTTGCAAAAAAAACAACAACAACAGAGATCGGGAGGTGGAGTCTTGTCCCCCCAGCAGACAACTTAGTTGCAGATTGGGGTTTCAAGGAGAGGTAGCAGCATATTAATTGTGTCATGTTTCATAATTGGAATATTTTTAGCCAAGGCAAATATAGAACTGGACCAAGCAACTTAGTTCTGGACACTGGATAGGATGCTAACTGGAGCTAGGCAATGTCACTGTTCCATGGGCAGCTGATGTGAGTTGTGAGAGTGATACTTTTCAAACGATGAAGCTTAGCTCACCCCTCCAGTAAAACAATGTCCCATCTAACATTCAAAATACTGCCATCTTTTCTGGATTTCAGAACAGAATATAAGAACTTGCCTCCATTTCCCTATCTTTTAAGCAATCTAGGGGCTCTGACATGTTTCTTATGTACCCACTCATTTGGAGATGGTGGAGGTCTTTCCACGCTACCAAGTATTGGGTCGAACCATGATGTTTTCCTGGAGTCTAATCTCTCTTTAATTTCAAAATGTTCTTCCCCTTCTACCATAATGGGCTGTGTGGGGGGGGAGGCTTCTGCTGGCTTTAAGGGAAAGCTTAGCTCCCGCTTCAGCAGACTGCAGTGAAACATAGGGTGGACCTGTCTTAATGGCTTTGGGAGATCCAATTCCACTGTTATTGGGTTAACTCAACTTGGCATCTTTTTCCTACTAGCGTTCTCCCCAGGCTTTCCAATTAATTATCAATTAGCAGTATTCAAAAAGTTTCACTTGCCACTCAACCAAAAACATGAAGTGCTACACTCCACTCTAGAATAAACTTTATTGATGAGTCCACATGACTACTTCAGTAAACATCTTACAATATGATGTAATATTGGTTACCATGCAATTCTAGGTAGAGTGTGGATGAGGGTCAGACATAGCTAAGTAAGACCTAGGAAATGTGTTTCTTTGTACATAGATCATGGGCATTGATATGCACACTAGTACTTGCCATCAAGACCCACTACATTGTTTTTCATGATTAAAGGTTTGTCATCATTGGGTAGGGCAGAGTGCCCAAACTGCAACCCAAAACCCACTGATTTATCGCCGGGTGCCAGGTGGGCATGGCCCACTGGGTGGGCGTGGCTGTGGTGGTCATGGCAGATTGTGTGGGAGTGGCCAAGGTGGGCGTGATCACTTCAATGTTGTTTGTGGGGAGGGACGCCTGTGGGGGCCGAACAGGGTTGGGGGAGATCCGGAGGGTCTCTGGCAGGTGGGGCGGTGGGCAGGAGGCTCGTCCTGTGGGGTGAGGCGAGGCAGGGCGAGGCAGGGCGGGAGTGCCATTGTCACAGGGCAAGGTGTGGCAGGGCCGGGGCAGCTGCTGCCTGACACCATCGACCTCTGCACACAAAGGCCAGCGAGCGCATAGGTGCTGGGATGCATTTGGCCATGTGGGACCTTGGCGAGTTAGCGGGGGGCTGGTTGAAGAGGGACGGTTGCCATCTTCAGGAATATGGCCTGTGTGCCCACAGAGAGGGCTCTGAGTGCCGCCTCTGGCACGCGTGCCATAGGTTCGCCACCACTGGGGTAGGGCTTAACAGGCCAGTTCAAAGATAATCGAGAAAAAGCAGAGCTGAGCCACTGTGATTTTTAAAGCTACCCAGAGAGAATTATGAAGTAATTAAAGTCAGATAGAACATTTATTATTCAAAGAAACAACTCCTTTGCTAATTTAAGTTCGACCTACTAATTGTCAGCCTGGGAAAAATGAGCACAAAAATTAATGGCAGATTTCGAACAGGGCTATTTCAGAGGTTCTTGAATTCTTACAAGCAGGATTATTAGTGTTCGATATTCATAATCCTGATTGGAATTCAGTCATGGACTCTGATTATTTATTTATTTATTTATTTATTTATGAGACTTATATACCGCTTTAAGTGCAAGCACTCTCTAAGCGGTGTACACCATTAAGCAATGTATATACATATTTACATTGCCCGCAACAATCTGGGTCCTCATTTTACCTACCTCGGAAGGATGGAAGGCTGAGTCAAACTTGAGCCGGTGAGATTTGAACCGCTGACCTGCTGAACACAGTCAGCTAAAGTGGCCTGCAGTACTGCACTCTAACTGCTGTGCCACCTCGGATCATGGAATCTCTTTACTGGACCTTGGAGAAAGCAGTTCTCCATTCAACCTGAAATTCTTCACCAAATCTCAGAATTTTTTTCGGAAGGGTTGGACAATCACCTCATCTTTTTTCAAGTGAGGACGCTTCCGGAAATGTAAGAAGAATTTTTTTAAAAGCTCACGGCATAAGGACAGCTCAGGCACACAACCCTGGATATTTCTCAAAAGCAGCAACAATGATGGCAAAGAACAGCCCTTACTAGCTCACCTTGAATGATCTGAAAAGCTAAGCAGGACCACACCTGGTTAATACTTGGATGAGATCAGGACTGTCAGGCTAGTTGAGGCAGTCCAAAGAAGAAACTAGGAGAAGACAATGGAAATGCCAAGAAATCGATTTGAGGACGTCCCTGAAGCCACGAGGCCTGGAGCTCCACTCTTTGTTCCATTGCAAGACTAGCACAGCCAGACAGTTTTCCAAAATCCTTGATTACAAGAATTGGGATATGCTTTACAAAGGACCACAGTCTGACCAGAGTGAAGTCTTTGGGAATCTTCCTCAACTATCCCAGAAATCAAGTACTTGTTGATTACCCTTTCCCCCTGAAATCCAAAGGTTTAAAACAGTGGTTCTCAACCTGTGGGTCGGGACCCCATTTGGGGTTGAACGACCATTTCACGGGGGTCGCCAAACAACGCAGTCCGCCATTTTTCCCCCCTTTTCCTTAGCTGTGCTACTCCCTTTTATTCTATTGGCTTTTGAAAGCCAATAGAATAGACTCTCTTGAATAGAGTCTAATTCTATTGGCTTTCAAAAGCCAATAGGAATTATCCAAGCTGTCTCTGCCCTGCTGAGCCCGCCAAAAGTCCCAGTCTGCAAACGGTGCTGCACCAGTTGAGTAGTCCTCGACTTACGACCGGTTGAGTAGTCCTCAACTTACGACCGGTTGGGGTCGCGGCATTAAAAAGGTTGAGAACCACTGGTTTAAAATATCTTGAGCTTTAACTGAAGCATGGCTTAATCACTTAAAAACCTGAACTTTGGATCTCAGACCTACCTAACATAAAAGATGTTATGTATCAGGAACAAGGTCCACCAGCAAATTAAACAGAAAAAGGAAAGGAAGGCATCATCTACTTCAAAAGACCTCCACAAACGAGGTGTTCACCTGGGTCAGGAAAGAGAATGGAGATGTCTTTGTTCAAGCTTCTGTGACTTCAAAAGTCCCTGCCTGGAGCTGTGCCTCAAGACAGGTCAAAACAAAATGGAAATGTACTTGCCTTGCGGAAAAACAGAAAATAAATCTTACAAACAGGAGAAGAATAAAATAACACACCATCGTAAACTGAACGTTGGATGGGTGAAAGCATTTGACTCCCCCCCCCCTTTTGACTTTTGTTGTTTTGTTTTCATTGTAATCGTCTCCTTCGCTGCCATTTTAGTGTGGTTCGTAAACTGAATGCTCTTTTCAATGGAAATAAAATATTGTGTTTTTTTAAGGCAATAAGCCACAGGCATCCTCAAGGGGGGGAATCAGAAAAGCCAACGTGGCTATCGTGACTGTGGCATCCAGGCCCTGCCTCATTTTAATGCAGGTGTGACACCCTTAGAAAATGGACAGGGTCTCAATTGCACAGCAGCTTCTCTCATCTATCTTTTAAGAGAGGAGAGAAGAGAGGGAGAGAGAGAGAGAAGAGAGGAAAGAAAGAAAGAGAGAGAGAAAAGAGAGGAAAGAAAGAGAGAGAGAGAGAGGGAGAGAGAGAAAGGGAGAGGAGAGAAGAGAGGGAGAGAGAGAGAGAAGAGAGGAAAGAAAGAAAGAGAGAGAGAAAAGAGAGGAAAGAAAGAGAGAGAGAGAGAGGGAGAGAGAGAAAGGGAGAGGAGAGAAGAGAGGGAGAGAGAGAGAGAAGAAAGAAAGAGAGAGAGAGAGAGAGGGAGAGAGAGAGAAGAGAGGAAAGAGAGAGAGAAGAGAGGAAAGAAAGAGAGGGGGGGAGAGAGAGAGGGAGAGGAGAGAAGAGAGGGAGAGAGAGAAAGGGAGAGAGAGAAGAGAGGAAAGAAAGAAAGAAAGAAATAAAGAAAGAAAGAGAGAGAGAGAGAGAGAGAGAGAGGGAGAAAGAGAGAGAGAAGAGAGGAGATTATGGTTAAGTCCATGGAGATGCTGTTATGGTCTTCCTGTAATAGAAATGGCTAGTAAATACTATTATGTAAAAGTAAAAAGTGTGGATTGTATGTTATTACCTTATTCTACTCTGTCAAAAAAGAGTCTGAACTCAATGCTTTCCTTCTTCATTTCCCTTTACATTTTTCCCTCTTCCTCTTTTCCTCCCGTATTTTCTCATTATTTCCATTTTTCTTTATCTTTCTGTATTTTATATTTTGATAAGGTAAAAAAAAAAAATACTTGAATGGAGACGCTGTCACAGTCGTATGAAAAGTCACCAGCCATTTTTTTTTTTTAGTGCTGTAGTAACTTCGAATAGTCATTACAAATGGTTGTAACTCAAAGACTGATCTACAGCCTGGGAAGTGAGCATGAATTCTAGTCTTCACGAGCCATTTTAAGTGGATACGGCATTCAAACCCCAAAGACTGATATGTAATCATCAGGGCAACTGATTTCAATTGTTCTATACGGAAATAAATTTCCTCAAATGCTAAATCTGCCTTGTTTATCTTTTAACTAGTATTGACAAATTTAAGGCTGAGCTCCCAACTGACGCAATAGACTGAACAGTTTGAGGAATGTATTT